ATATATATATATATATATATATATACACACACACACATATATGTATATATACACAAACTGAATTGAATTGTTTGGGTATAACAGTGGCTCTGTTTTTGTTTATTGGTTGAAAGCAGTGTCAGTTTAATTCCTGTATTATCTTTAAATTGGATGGACGGCTGGTTTTAACTAGACCACAACGAACACACATTTTCCCATTTTCACTTTTACAGACGTTCAAAATGAAAGAAATCTGTTGCCGCAACTGAGAACTTTAATCCATGTCCATTTCTCTTGGTTGTCCATCGGACAATCTTGATGTGAGATCTGGTTGTCAGAGACAAAAATAAGTTGTCTTGAACAAACTGAAGCCACTTATGTCGACCCCTGACTAGATCATAGGTAAAATCATCCCAAATTTAAAAAAAGTGAAGTCGCCTTAACAGAACCCCAATCAGACAATTGTTCGTTGCTGCCCCCGTTCTTGAAGATGCACATTTCTAATTTCTAACCTCCAAACCAGGGCCATTTTCTGGAGTAAATTTCTACCTCAGTCATCTTTTTCAGCCTTGGTTCCAAGGAAATTAGTCCAACCAGACGGGGGTAAAAAAAACAAACAAACAAAAAAAACCAATCCAGTATATGGTCAATTAATCAATTAAGATCCAATACATACCGTCACCACCTCCTCCTCCTCTTCTTCAGAATCACTGTCTTCACTATCTGAACGTGGTGCTACCTCGTACCTAAATAAATAAAACAAATAGAAGCAATTTATGACAAAGTTAAAAGCATTTTGTTCTGCAAACAACTATTCATTCAGCTTTAACGCCATGTGACGAATCCAACGTAACTAACTTTTAACAACAGAACACAAACCACTGACGGTGTACACAAACTTAAATGTGATTTAAAGGGATCTCCGACTACTTGCACGTATAGGCCTTAATTTGTTGGTATTTCTACTAAAAGTTATTTGTGACACATGAAAACTCTTAATTTCTTAAAAAAATTATTTGTTTATTAAAAATTTCACCTAAGGACATCACCGTTATTTAAGCAGAGCAATGCATTCTGGGGCAATGATGTAAATAGGCTGTAAAGGAGACTAAAACATAAGAAGGGAAAGGTAAAAAGTTGTAATGTGGCAATAAAGTTATATTTTGTACACAATAGATAATATGCACAATAAATGGTCTAAAAGATCAAATGTGATCAACTTGTGATGTTTATTAGCTATGGATCCTGGTGCTAATGATTATATATATATATATATATATTTATATATACATTTTAGCTCATGCATTGAAACAATCTGTCTACATCAATTACCCAGAATACATTGCAACATAAATACAATGACAATGTGTGTCAATATTTTTTGAGAAAATTATGAACACTAAACAGCCAGCAGAATTTTCCATTCTCATTTTTATAGCTGAAGTAATTGTTTATCAAATAGGGTCTATTGTTCCAACTAGCAGGAGATCCTTTTAGAGATCGATCAATATTTGGATCTGTCCATTTTACCTGGAAGCTGAGAAGCAGTGATACTCACCCTGGGTTCATTTCAAGCCACGTCTCCAGCTGACCAGCTTTAGGTGCATCAACACCCGTCAGGATCTTCCCACTGTCCACATGGATGACCTTGACAGGAAGGTCACTCATTTGGCTGGTCTCGTCCAAAGGCTGCCGCAGGAAACCAAACAAGAACAACTGGTCATTAGAGGAAAGAGCTGCACATAGGACTAAAGAGAATGATGTTCTTCTTTGAAACTCACCTCTCCATCAGGTCCCATAGCAGGAGCACCACCCTCTGCGGTCTCTGGCTTCTAAAAATAATAAAATGGTAACAGTTATAAATTGAAAAAAGTACTGCCAAATAAAAAAGCACAGCAGCAAATAAACCCTAAATACCTTCTTTTTCTTCTTCTTTTTCTTCTCCTTGAGAGCTTGAGCAGCTTTGTGGGCGCGCACCAACTCTGTGAGGTTGGCCACATATTCATCTGTCTGCTGCAGCAGGTAGGCCAGACGCTTGTCTTTCTTCTGGTCGATAAGTTTACGATAACCTTCTTCATCTTCAGCCTGGAAAATGATTCACAATCAGCTCTAATCAGCACTTTCACAAAAATTAAACCATTGCTTATTATTTACCAACATTTGTAAGTCTCCAGAAATTGTAATTTGAGTCTTACCATCAACCTCCGCATTCTCTCCTTTTCAATCCGCTCATTCTCCTTCTTCTGCTCGCGCTCCGTGTTTGCATGATAGGTGGCGACAGCTTTGGTAGCCTTCTGGAGCTTTGCTGTGATGGAGCGGTGGTACTCCTTGAAGTCCTTGGCGTGCTGCAGGATGCTGTTGAGGTATTCCTATAAAGAGAAACACACAAACCGAGCTTTGGAAAGTGATTTCCTCCAATATGATCTTGTTAAAATCAATTTTTACACCATTATTATGCAACAAACAAGAACTAAAATGAGCCCAAAATCTTTAAGTAGATTAAAAATAAGATGCAAACACTGACATCACCATTAGTCTCCACTCAGAAGAAGTTTGTACCTGGTGTTTCTGCCGACGTTTGCGCTCTTGTTCGATCTTTTGTTGTTTTTCAAGTTTCTCAGTAATGCGAGCCTCACGCAGGGACTGACGTTTGCTGCGTTTGTAGGCTTTTGCATTCAGGGCAGTTTCCAACGCAGTGTCACGACGCATGCAAGCCACCACCTCCTGACGCAGCTGCAGGAATGAAACAATCGACTTGGGTGCTTTTCCACTGAAGAAAACAGCAGCAGCTCCTAAAGTGTGGATCATTTATTGTTTACCTGTCTCTGGAAGTTAAGCAGCCTCAGAGCTTTGAGCTCGATGGAGGCCTTCGTGCGCAGATCGACAGCTAGCGAGCCTGGCAGGTTTTCCAACTCCTGCACGCGGTGAACAATACGAGCTTGTAGCCTGAATAACACACATAATCAGACGTTTGAGTTTTCTAAATACAATGAAGGGAACTAGAAGAACACTGAATAGTATTTATTTTGTACTGGTTAAATAAAAAGGTAAAAACGATGATATTTAAAAAACAGATTTCTCTTAAAAAGCTCTGAACTTAGTCCATTAATATATAAAAAAAATTGAGAACAATGAAATTACATTAACTATCAGAAATGACTAAACAGGCATTTTATCATGTTTTATTTTAGAATCTCTTGCTTGTAGATTATGAAAACAATTGATTTAGTAAAACCTAATCAATGATTTGGTTTGCCGACAAAATTTTTGCGCAAAGGGACGGTGGAAACATTTTAATGAGCAATATTGTTTTTGTGCCGTCCTTGTTTAAAATGCATGTAGAAAAATACAGACTTTGCTTTTAGAAACTTTTTGAACTTCCTGGAAATGGGAACAGTAAATTAATGGTTTAAATATAATTATGAAGCAGATTTTTTATTTATACCTCCACCTGCACGAGGCTCGAAATCAGGTTTAATCCATTTAACAATGGCTCTCTACTAACTAACTTAAAAAAATATTAATGTGTCCATGTAACATAAAAAAGTCAGAACAACTTTTTAAAATTATTTGGTAGAGCCTGACTGATATATCGGCTGGGGCCAATATAAACGTTTGGGTACACATGGGTACCTGTAATAATTGTCCCATTATGCGTCGATATAAGCACTTCTAATTTTCACCCCTAAACTGCTGGAACCTGTCGTAATTGTACAATGTATCCAGCAGAGGGCGCATGAAGACTACTTTCAAGTCATGCTCGTTAACTTAAGTTTCCATTTCAGCGCAGGCAAAGCAGGGAGCAACTGTGTAGCGTATTTTGCTGAACAGGGCATGGTTAATTTATTTGAACTGATCTGTAAAATAAATAAACAATAATAAATTCTCTTCAATCCTCCAACCTGCTTGTTATTAGCTACGTGCCTCTCAAGGTAAAAAGCTAACGTTTAGATGAACTAGCATAGGCTACTGCCTTGTAAAACGTTATCCAGAACAATAAATCTAACAGAGGTAAGATATATATCAGTGTTAGTAACATTATCTTTGTTGTCCTCAATGAAATGCATTGTTTGTCTGAAATCTTAACTTCTCTGCAAAGAAAAATAATAAGACGCCGCTGTGGTCAGTACTAATTAGGCCTCCACCATAAGTGACTGTTTAAACAATGAACAAGGAAGGGTGTTTCTTTGATTAAGTTTTATTTTTGTAACACACTTAATAACTTTATGGTGAATAGTGGAACATAAAAAATGTGAATGCACTTTATGAAGACTATTTTTATGACCAGTACACCACTTGTAAACCTAAAGTGGGTCTAGGTATAGCGTGAATCTGATTAGCTTAGCTTCATAGTTGCTAACAGCTGCGCTAAATAAACAAGCCCCGCTGCAGCTCCACTCGTGTTTTTTTAGATTATTGGGGGTGGACAAAGCTCAAAAATTTTCTACCATTATATTGGTTATCGGCAGCCGGCTCCCACTCCCAACAACGTATCGGCGATGGTCAAAATTTCCATATCGGTCAGGCTCTCTACTATTTAGTCCACCTTAATAGCAGATCAAAGATGGATTTTTTTATGTTTTAGGAAGAAATATTTGGGAGAATTTAACCACCAATAATCACCTGTACTCTCGCTCCTGCAAGATCTCCACAGGGTCCAGCCCACGGGGTTTTTGGATCGGAGTTATACGGTTTTGCTTCTGGTGGAGCATTATGGGAGGGAGCTGTGCCGGCTGCCCCGGCGACTGCGTCTGAGGGGGCATTACTGGAGAGGCAGCTGGAGGCACAGATGGGGGAGCAGGGGAGGGTCTGCCGGTGGGCTGAGGAGGAATCAACTTCTGAGGAGGGTTGGACGGGGCAGCAGCATTCACCATTGGTCCTAGACGTCAAGAATGGGATTTTTATCTTATTAACATGAAATTAAATATTGACTGGGTTACTACTGTGATCAAAAGTTTACCTTCTGGCCATGGTTTGGGGGGCCCATTGGCATGCTGGCCTTGCATACCAGGAGGACCTCCTGCAGGTCCAGGAGGAGCCATATTGGGACCTACCATACCTAAATCAAAAGAATGATGCAATCAGTTGCTTTAATAAAGCAGAAATATCAACTTTACCTGTTGCTTAAAATCCCCCTCACTGATATTCCCTAACTCACCATGTGGTCTGTTGTAATTGGTCTGAGCTGGTCCTGGTCCAGCGGCTGGGCTGCCTCCAGGTCCTGTAGAAGGTGGCATATTGGGCATGGGCCTCTTCCCCTGCAAAGCCATCTGCAGGTGCTCTGGAAGGGCCTGATTGCGTGCCAGCATCTTATAGGCCATAATCTGGGCCCTGAGTTGGTGCAGCTGGTTCTGGTTAAAAGGTGTGGGTCCACCAGCTCCACCTGGACCACCTCCTTGAACTGGTGGTCCACCTGGACCCTGAGGACCGCCACGGTTCGGTTGGCCCATACCCTGATTTGGGTCCCCACTAACCTCCATAGGGGCTGCCCCAGGGCCAGAGGGAGGACCGTTGGCTGGGACAGGACTGGGGGCATGTTCTGAACCCCCCAATGGAGACGGGTAACCTGTCAGTGGTGCAGAAGAATCATGTCAGAAATGTCAACAGGGCTCTTCTACAATATCAAGTTTGAAATGTTATACTTTTGCAGATTCAAATTTTCTTAATTTTCTGTAATTTTTCAAACCTTTCTCAATATTTTAGTCCAAACATTTACAGTAAATTTATAGTCAATATTGGGATGAAAACAGAAGTAAAACAAACAAACAAAAAATTAGTTTAAACTAGAGAAATTGCATTTCCTGTCTTACTGCTGAATGATTTTTTTTGCTGAAAGCTGCTGAAAATGTTCCATCACTAAACTGTTGATGCACGTTGAATTTGAACAGCTAACATTTCAAGGTTCAAGGTGACTTCATTGTTATTCGCATCACATGTGGTACATGTGGTGGAACAAAATTGTGTACTCAGGGTGCAGTTCCATGCGATGGGTCTTTCGACGTGGTTGTTTAAGAAATGAGAAGCAACTCATTGCACCAGTTGGGGTTAAATAACTTGTTGCCAGCTGAAAGATAATCACCCATGTAGTTATTATACAATAGGAGGCTCATGCCTATTTGCTTAGTTAAATTCAGGTGGCAACTTTGTTTTGGCCAGGCAGTGTATTTAATGCCTTAGAAAACGGAGTGTGTTGGAGTGGGCGGGGCTTACAGTCACACCTACCAACTGCACAGACTCTGGCTCCAAAAATACAGCACGGTAGTGCCAGAAAACTGGGATAATATGGCTTAAATTTTAAACTTGAGGTGGTGAAGACACTTTGTCCTTTTTTGTCAGTATGAACCCAGTGTCAAAAATAAAAAAGAAAGGAAAAGCTCCTTCTTGAATCGCCACCTGATCATGGTAGAGGAGTTTGTGCGCCTTAATGATCATAGGAGCTATGCTGTCTGGGGCAATTTTAATTGACTGGTACAGTTTCCCAAGGCAAATTGGTCATAGGTGACAGACCTGATAAAGAACGATTCAGAAGAATCTTATTGTCAGAAACAAACAAAGAACTCAGTGTCCCTTCCCGGACGTAGGTTACCCGGGCCCCAACCTGGAGCCAGGCCTGGGGAAGGAGCCTGAGCTTGTGCGTGAGGTTTAGAGGTACCGACTAGATATAGTTGGACTCATCTCCACACAAAGCATGGGCTCAGAAACCAATCTCCTTGAGAGGGGATGGACCTTATTCCACTCTGGAGTTGCCCATGGTGAAAGGCACCGAGCTGGTCTGGGTCTAACCTTAGCCCCCTGACTTGGTGCCTGTGTGTTGGAGTTTTCCCTGGTAGATGAGAAGATGGCTTCCTTGCACCTTCGGGTGGGGGAACAGGCTTGTTTGTGCCTATGCGCCAAATTGCAGTTCAGAGTATTCGGCCTTCTTGGAGTCGTTGGCAGGGGTGCTGGAAGGTGCACCAGTTGGGGACTTCTTTATTCTCCTGGGGGACTTTAATACCCACGTGGGTAACGACAGTGTGACCTGGAGGGGCGTGATTGGGAGGAATGGCCTCTCTGATCTGAACTCGAGCAGTGTCCTATTGTTGGACTTCTGTTCTAGTCATAGTTTGTCCATCACCAGCACCATGTTCGAACATAAGGGTGTCCATGAGTGCACTTGGCACTAGGACACCCTAGGTCATAGATCGATAATTGATTTTTTAGTCATGTTATCTGATTTGTAGCCATTTGTTTTGGACACTCCAGTGAAGAGAGGAACTGATCTGTCAACTGATCACCACTTGGTAGTGAGTTGGATCAGATGGCGATCAGATGGCAAGGGAAGATGCCGGACAAACTCGGTACACCCAAACATGTAGTGAGGGTTTGCTGGGAACACCTGGCAGAAGAACCCATCAGAAAGATATTAAACTCACACCTCTGGGAGAGCTTTAACCGCATCCCAGCTGAGGTGGGGGAAATTTAGTCAGAATGGGCCATGTTCTGTGACTCAATTGTTCAAGTGGCTGCCTTGAACTGTGGCCGCAAGGTTGTCAATTGGGACGCACCAATTCACTTTTTTTTTATACTTTCGATCCGATCCTAAATCTAAATATCGGCCAATACCGATCCAGTTCCGATATCATGATCATCATTGATTTTATATGAGGCTGTAATAATCTCCTCTCAAGTACAATTTGTACAAATATATGCATGCATGTCCAAAAAGGCAACTTGAGGTAAGTTTTATTAATGTTGGATAAGTTTTAAAGTTAGAATTAAATTCTGCTAACACAGAATTATTCCTAGTTTTAAAGTGGATATTAAAGTGATTAATTTAAGTGATTGTTTAAAGTTATTTTATATTTTTTTTAAATAAGGGGCAGATATAAGAAATATTTTTCTTCTTTCTGCACTCTTTTCATTCAATGTTTTCTTTTTGATGATTTTTTTTATTTAGTTTCTTTTAAATTAATGAATAAATGAATTAAATCAAATAAAATGTTAAATGGCTTTAAACATCTGCTAAGTTCATGGCATAAACCAACAGACATGTTCCTGTTTTTAGTATTTTACATCACTTTATAATGTAGCTGTTTTTGTTTTTAATATAATTTTCAAATCACATGTTTTTTATGACTGTCTACTGTTGTACTGATAAATATATCCTGGAAGGTAAACTATATCTTGGCTGCAAGTATCAAGCTGTGAAATCTTTCGTTTTCTACAACTGATAGTGATTGGTCATGAATCATGATGAAGTTTAGCAACTTCTCTGTAAACATTTGAGCTCCGTGGTTTCAGCGATGTCTTCTTCTTGTTCAATCCGAAGCAAGCAGTCTGATTTGGGGCAGCCGCTCTCAGTCTGTCCCTCCTCAGAGACGGGCAGACTGAGTCGTCTGTTGTGGGTTGAGCAAAGAGCAGCGCCATGCTGAAGCCACGGAGCTCGAATGTCCATCGTAAAACTAACTTTACCGCGGTTTAATGTGGCGCTATGGCTCTGCAGACATCGCACGTTGCTGTCTTGTTTTGTGGTGTTTCTAGTGTAAAATACTTCCACACAGCGGACATGTTACAATGAAAAGTTTGTTAGCTGTTAGCCACAGTGCTGCTAACTCAGTCCTCACATTGCAGCTGTCTGCAAACTATGAAATGGATTTCCTGAATGTGAGGCGGGTCTTATTACTCTGGGCTCATGAGACACGACGCCATTCAGGAAATCCATTCCATAGTTTGAAGCCAACATGCATCATGGATCGGAAATATCGGCAAGTGGATCGGAAAAATCCAATACGTAAATTATGCTGGTATCGGAGGCCGATACCGATACTGGATCGGCCCCATCCCTAGTTGTCAATGCTTCTCACGGTGGCCATCCTCGAACTCGATGGTGGACAACCCGGGATAGGGATGCTTTCAAGCTGAAGGAGGAGTCCGATTGGGCCTTGTTGGCTGGTGGGACTCCAGAGGCAGCAGAGGAGCACCGGAGTCAAGCTGTCTGTAGCCTTGGATGTTGCTGTGGAAAAAGCTCTAATATGAGAAGAGCTTGGAGAGACCTTGGATAAAGACTCTCGGTCGGCTCCGAGGAGATTCTGGCAAACCATCAGGTGGCTGAGGAGGGGAAAGCAGCTTTTTACTAACACTGTGTTCAGTGAAGGTGGGGTGCTGTTGACCTCAATTACTGATGTCATCAGGAGGTAGAAGGAATACTTATTGGACCTTCTCAATCCCACCGGCACATCTTCCATGGAGGAAGCTAAGTTGGGGGACTTTCGGGTTGGTCTGTTCATAACCGTGGCTGAGGTCGCTGAGGTAGTTAAAAAGCTGTGCAGCAGCAGGACTCCAGATGAGATCCGCCCTGATTTCCTTAAGGCTCTGGATGTTGTGGGGCAATCTTGGTTGACATGCCATTGAACCATCGTGTGGATGTGAGGGATAGTGCCACTGGATTGGCAGATTGGGGTGGTGGTTGCCCTCTTTAAAAAGGGGGACCAGAAGGTGTGCTCCAATTATAGGGGCATCACTCTTCTTAGCCTACCTGCTAAGGTGTACTCAGTGGTACTGGAGAAGCGAGTCCGATCGTTAGTCGAACCTCAGCTCCAGGAGGAACAATGCGGGTTCTGGCCTGGCTGTGAAACACTGGACCAGCTCTTTACCCTCACTAGGGCCCTTGAGGGATCATGAGTTTGCCCATCCAGTCTACATGTGTTTTGTGGACTGGAAGAAGGCATTTGACCGTGTTCCTCAGGGTACACTATGGGTGGTGCTCCGTGAGTATGGGATTGGGGGCCCGTTGCTACGGGATGTTCAGTCCCTATATAAGCAGTGCGAGAGTTTGCCAGTAGTAAGTCGAACCCCTTCAGGGTGGGAGTTGGACTCCGCCAGGGTTGCCCTTTTGTCACCGATTCTGTTCATAACTTTTATGGACAGAATTTCTTGATGCAGCCAGGGGGCGGGGGATTCCTGTTCGGTGGCCTCAGGATTCTATCTCTGCTCTTTGCAGATGATGTGGTCCTGTTGGTGTCATCATGCCATGATATTCAGCTATCAGCACCTCCAAATCTGAGACCATGGTCCTCAACTGGAAAAGGGTGGATTTCTCTCTTCAGGTCGAGGGTGAGGTTCTGTCTCAAGTGAAGGAGTTCAAGTATCTCTGGTTTTGTTCACGAGTGAGTGAAGAATGGAGCGTGAGATTGACAGACGGATTGGTGCAACATCTGCAGTATTGCGGACCCCGTACCAATCCATTGTGGTGAAGAGTGAGCTGAGCTGTAAGGCGAAGTTCTCTGTTTACCCGTCAGTCTACGTTCTTACCCTCACCTATGGTCACAAGCTCTGGGTAGTGACCAAAAGAATGAGATTGTGGATATAGGTGGTTGAAATGAGTTTCCTCCACATGGTAGTTGGACTCGGCCTTAGAGATAGGGTGAGAAGTTCAGTTATCTGGGAGAGACTCAGAGTAGAATTGCTGCACCTGCACATAGAGAGGAGCCAGTACAGGTGGTTAGGGCATAAGGTAAGGATGCCCCCTGGGCGCCTCCCTTGGGAGGTTCTTTGGGCATGTCCAACTGGGAGGAGACTGTGGGAAAGACCCAGGACAAGTTGGAGAGACTATGTCTCTCAGCTGGCCTGGGAATGCCTTGGAATCCTTCCAGAAGAGCTGAAAGAGGTGGTAATGGAAAGAGATGTTCTGGGCCTCCCTGCTCAAGCTGCTGCCCCTGCGACCCGACTTTGGAACAACCGGAAGATAATGGATGGATGGAAAACCATTTAGTTGAAGAGCCTAAGACTGAAGAAGTCTTTTGGATAAAAGTTGAAACATTTCAACAAAGAAGAATAGATCCAGATGACATGACTTAACCTTGTTATTTATCTACCTGAAAAATTGAGCATGCACCAGGATGGAAAGCATTTTAGTGTCTACAAAATAAATCTGTCATCTCATAAATTTATTTCTATTGTTTTTTTTCATCATCTATTTCCTTTGATTAACTACATTGGTTCTGTAGATGCAGCTGTTCTTGTTGTGTGTAAGAGGCTTGGTAGCCCCGCCCCCTTTCTGTTGATCTAGCTGCCGTCTGCTCTCGCTGCCAAATAAACAGAGGAAGAACCGGCTGGATGGGTTCACACAGATATACTGACAGACTCCTATGCCTCTAATGCATGCAGGTTTTCAGGGATAAAAAGATCAGTCATCAGTCTAAACTTTCACCAAGTATCAGGCTTACATGAAAACACCCATTTACATACATATCATGCTCTGCTATCACAAGTTATTTAAATTGTTAGTTATTAATAGTTCTTTAAATAAATAATTTCAATCTTACCCAATATAGGTGTGAGTTTTTAAGACCAAAAACATCAAATCTAATATTGGAAGATGGGTTACCTTGAGAATGTTGATCCATTGGACTTGGAGGGGGTCCCATCCCACTGTGTCCCCCTGGCCTCATGCCCATTCCTTTCATTTGTCCATAGCGAGGGTCATCAGGCATTCCCTTCTCATGCATGGGGTCCATGGGCTGTGTAAATCATGGAATAACCATCAATCCAGACTTATTTGTTTCTGTTTGAAGTCTACAATTTAGAAATAACACTTAAGGAAAGATTTTAATTGGAACAATGCTAAACTCAAACCAATGAATAAGCAAGAAAATAAAAACAATTGATGCACTAGTATAAAACATTAGACAACTAAAATTAAAGAATTGTGACAAAGACTGAACTACTAAAATCATACAAATTATTGGGAAAAGTTAAATAAATAATTTAAAAAAATCTGTTGTACTTTGTGCATCTGATGCATGTTGTCCTGAGGATATACTGAGGGTCCCTGTGGAGGATGAGGGTGTCCAGAACCTGGAGGTCCTGGACTGGGCCCCATCATGCTGTGGGTCGAGCCTGGCGAGGGACCAGGGCTGGGGCCCATCATGCCTCCTGGAGATGGCCCCGGACCCGGGGAGGGACCGGGCCGAGGTGTCCCTCCCATCGGGGGGTCAGGAGTGGACATCTCTCAGGAGAACCTGGGAACGTGTAGCAGCAGCAAGTTCCCCTAACAACACAACAGAGGAAATAACAGAAAAATAAAAATGCGTTTGGTAAGCTTTAGGTTAAAACATTTTCTTTTATCTCTTTTTAAATTTAAACCTACTTTGCCTTTCAGTTTTTAGGGTATTTGTTTATATTTTTTATCCATAAGATAAGAAAACTGTTTTTGTCAGACTAAAGACTAATTTTGAAGATTATAAACATAAACACAGAATCTTATGGAGTCAGTCTCCCCACCATCACAGACATCTACACCTCCAGATGCAGGAAGAGGGCCACCTGCATCATGAAGGACCCCACTCACCCAGCACACACACTTTTTGCCCCGCTCCCCTCAGGAAGGAGGTTGAGGAGCATTAAGTGTAGAACCACTAGACTGAGGAACAGCTTCTACCCTGAGGCTGTTAGACTCATGAATCTCTAACTGGAATAATCACTGTGAAAAAAATCATATCATGAAACTGCTGATTTGATCTAAATAATTAATTATCAATAAGTTGATTGATCAACACTTGATGCCACTGTAAACATAAAAACAAGCTCCTGTCTGTAAGTAGCAACACAAAACAAACAGTTTGTTTTAGAATGAGGTCTTATAATACTAATGAGATTTTAAACAACATGCCAGTGGCTGAGATGAAATTAAATGTTTTTATTAGATTAAATGTTAAAATGTGGTTTTGTCACTTAAATTTTGTAAAACAAAACATTCATGAGTACAATAAGATATTAAACTTGGGCTTTCTTCAAATTCATAAAACGTGGCATTTTCTCTGTAATACTCAAGCATGTATCAGAAATAGATACAACTAACAAAATGAGCTGAAGTGACTTTAATTTTTAAAACGCTAACAAGTTTAGTTTTTAGCTACGTTAGCCCTTTCAGCTAGCGTTAGCTTAGCCGGCTTTTGTAGATGAGGTTACATTGTGACTATTAAAAGCCATTGTCTAAAGTCCTACACTCATTCAATGTTACACCGCTTCGTTGGCATTCATTAGACATTTATTTCATTAGTACAGTCACACTAAAGTAAAGTTAAAGCTCCAAGAACAAGGCGAATCTGGAAGTAAAAAAACCTGAACTAATACCGTTTGTTGGCGGTTAGCATGTTAGCGAGCTAAATGAGCTAGCCTAGCCTGCCATGCTGTGCCAGGCAGGCCGGTTGGGCAGAAAAACGGTGTCTTTTTGTGAAAAGTTTGGAGCGATGCGGCGACATGAGCGGTCTGAGCATCACTCATCGAGAGCCGATTGATCCATCGCGCCTCCCGTACCCTTCTCGGCTCAGTCCAAAAACTACTTTCATTCATTGCACTGCCGCTCTGCAGCAGCGCCACTCAACATCCGTCCTGTCTTTTCTAAGAAAAATATACTTGATCTTATTATCCAATATTAATAAAACAGAAAATAAGTCTCCTCGTAAATCGGGAAATTAGATGTCTTACAGAAGAGTTGAACGTCGGTATTTGGGTTTTCGCCGGTCGCAGTGTCTCTTGATTTTCCTTGTCGGCAGAAACAAAGAGCGACCAGTCAGTTTTTTTCCTTCATCCCCCTCTGTCACTCAGTGGACTCTACAGCGCCGCCGTCGAACCGCAGGCCGGTGCAGGTACTGCATCTAATGGAACCACATGGTGTGGGGGGGATACCAATTCAATTCAGTTGATTTCTATAGCG